TCTAAACCCTTCAAAGTATTGGTGCCTGGCACACGCTGGCTACAGCTCATTAAACCCGAGCGCCCCAGGGCAGGCTGCTCGCCGTTAGCCAAAGAGATCTTGCAGTAGTTCGGGACTTCTAAGGGATCCCGCGTGGTCCAAATTGGTGTTACCAATAAGATTTTTTTCCCAGCGAAAACTCTCGGAAGGTGTAATTTCCCTTCTCGATTGAAACCGACCGCGAAAGGCTTTTGCGGAGATTTTTGCATGTTGTTAGTGCGGTGTGATTTTTTCAAGCGCTCTCCGGCCGCAAAGTGGAAATGATCAGGTCAGAATTTGAACCCCCCTGTGTCCTGACCCCCACCCTCCCTTCTCTAGCCCTCGAAAAAAACACCGACCCGTCCGAGTCTGGCGCCTGGTGTGCAGAATTAAACCGCAACCCCTGGGCAGAGCGGGAAAGACGCTGCACAAACCTGACCTTCGCTAAATCTAAGTTGTAAGGTCAGGATTGCTTTCCTCTGCCTGTGGCTGGACGCAAGTGGGACAAGCTCAGAGTTTGGCCGTTTCGGTAGCTGGAGATTTGCACACACAGGAAGGGGTTTGCCAGCTGCGGGAGAGGTTCCAGGGTTGTTTTGATTAGACAAGGGATACCAAAAGCAATGACAGACACTCCGCTGTAATCAGAGCGTTAGGGATAGTGGATAAGGTAGCGCATGGACTCCGTGCCTTGTCGATGAGCACTTCTGGAAGGCAGCGGAGAGAATACACTTAATGCCTGCTGAGGATGTTCAGTGCCGTGTAAACGCCGCGCCGCCAGCCTTCCTCCCCAAACTTCACCGACCCCCGTTTGGCACAGCGCAGTCTAGACTCTGGGCGGGCGCGTACGAGACAGATTCACCGCAGCGCATTTGGCGGCCGAAGCCCGGGGAAAGGTGTGTGCCCGGTTGTCTTTTACACGTGCGTTCCGAACAGCCTGGGAGCTGCACCCCGCGGGACAACACCCGGCGCCCAAAGAAGAGCCAAGCGTGGCTGCGTGTGAGGTCCCAGGTACAAGCACACATCAGGCGCGCAGGAGGAGAGGAGGCTGGGTTTTGGAGAAGACACTTGTGCTCCCGATGTAGAGGGTCAGAGTTTGCCAGGCAGGAACTCCCCCTACTGTTAATTTCATAAGGCTGCAGCAGCGCGTGGGGAGAGCTCCTGGATACAAGCAGGGAGGAACCCAGCGAGAGGAGAGGGCTGTTTGGAAAGGGCCGGCAAATCCGAGCGGTGTTAGGCGTCAAACTGTACAGCGCCGAGCCCGCAGCCCCTTGGAAAGACAACGGGGCCGAAGGAAAAAAAAGGGAGGTGGGTAGAGGGGGGTAGTGGCGAGTCAGGACGAGAAACGAGGCGTTTAGAGCAAATAATAATAATTAAAATTAGTCATAACAAATGCCAGCGAGCGTATGGCACCGAATAAAAGCAAGTGCTGCCCGTGGTAGTGACTTCTGCTGCAGCTTCCCTTTGGCAAATGGCTCCCTCCCACTGCTCTGGCTCAAACTCGTTCGTGCACTAGGAAGACCAGGCGCCGTGTGGACGCTGTCTGTGTGATCCGGCTCAGCCCAAGTCACTTCAGCAAAGCGTAGATCTGCCCGATAGGGTTTTCCCAAACTGTTCCACGAGTCTCTTGGACACAGGCGAGCAGCAAGCCGGCCTTTGAACCAGGCTTCCAGGGAACACGGCCGCCCGCATGAGGCGTGTTAGCGCTGGGTGCACAGGGCCCTGGCGTGGGTGCCAGCGATCACACGGGTCTGGAGATCCCCGGGCACAAGAGACCAGGGAAGCGCGGCTTCACACCATGAAAACCACGAAGCAGTGCGAGACCTTGGGGGGCAAGGCCTGCCTGGGCTCTCTGTAGTGTCCTGGGGGCACCTCCTCTCACTTTCCAGAAACGCCCCAGTTCTCCTTGGTCTCTGCCCCGGGCTAGATTCGCTCCTGCCGCCCCCTCTAGGACTAAGCGAGCCCCGCCGGCCCGGGCTGGGGCCTGCCCTGCCCTATGGCCCCGGAATGGGTTGCCCGGGGGGGTTAATGAGCAGCCCCCCCTGGCCGAGGCTGGGAGTGAGACTGCACAGGCCTTGCTCCCGGGGAGGCCAAGGGCAGGCTCCGGAGCGAAGCGCTTGGCCCTGTTTATGTCTCTCCAGACCTCTCCCCTGGGCAGCGCGGGCCTGCGGGCACTGCCTGCAGCGGGGAAGGCTCGGCCCGGTGCCCAGCAGCGGGGAGAGGTGTCTGGACCCCCGGGCTCAGCGTCCAGAGAACAGAGAGCATCGTGCATTGCAGCTGCCCGGCCAGAAACAGGCCCGAGGTTCAGCTGCAGTGCGAGGGAGGGAGGCCAAGGGCTTGGGCTGGGGGAGGCCGAATAGTGCTGAGGCCAGGAGCCCCTGGGCGTCGGTGGCCGCTCCGCAGGGTGAGCTGAGTCGTCGGCGCGCATCACTTCCCCCAGGGCTCTCCGATCAGCCACCCCCCTCCTAGCACAGCAGGGCGATTCCTCTCTGCCCCCTAACACACAGAGCTCGGCCAGGGGCAGGCCGGGGCCTCTCCTCTGCCGGCCAGACCCCGGGACAGAGTCCCCCGGGAAATACCCAGGGGCGGGTTCCTGCCTCAGCTACACGAGTCAGTGATCCCTTCTTTGGGCCTGGGCCACACTGGGTTAGACACCCTCCCTGCTTCAGTGGCGCCCGGTTCCCTGTCAGCTTTAGATCCCTTTTTATCAGTGTGGAAAGCAAGCGAACAAAACAGGCTAACCAATCGTCACACCCACAATACACAACTTAGCAGTGCTTTGCTTCAGCTAGTCACTTCAGACAGGGAAAGGATTCTTTCTGCATCTCTCTCTCTCTCTGTGAGATTATTATATGTATCTTCACACGCAGAGTGATATATATTATATTATATGATATTATATTATATTATATTAGTATAGGAGCATGCATATATATATATGAGTCATATACATGCATATATATATGAGTCCTGTGTATAATTATATATATATATATAGAGAGAGAGTCATTATAATATATACTGTATATATATATTCTCCTGTGTATAATTCTATATATATATATGCATGCTCCTATATAGAGTCATTATTTTATATATTTATACACAGTCATAATTTATAGTATGTACGATATACAGGTTATATATAATATAAATTACATGTGCTATAAATATGAGTCTATGTGTATCATATAATTGTACCCAGAACTATATATGTGTGTGACTGTGTAGATACAGTCTGTATAAATATATTCCCTCTCATATGCACAGCGATATAGGCGGGGTGTATATATGTACACCTATACAATATATTATTGATGATGCACTTGCTGCACAAAGTTATCATAGGAGGAAAGAAATATAACAAAGGGCACAGATACTTAATTCTGCCAAGCATATGCAACTAGATCCGGTAATAACTATAGATTTCATGAAGGCAGAATAATAACCAGCAGCAAAATAGACGGTATCGAGTCTCTTTTGTGAGGTGTGTCATATGCTGCGCTCTGAAGCCAGGGAGAGGCGGCGAGCTCCTCAGTATATTTAATGATCATTATCGGGCCGCTGTCATTTCGCGGTTCCCTCTGTAAAAGGGAGCATCCTTCTGTGACTTGGTGAAAGTGCCTTTTTTTAAACAATTGCTATAGTGGGGTTTTTTTTGCCGCCCTCTCATTAACTTGACAGTGAAAATACCCGGGGGGGGGAGGGGGGAGGGGAAAGAGTTTCACTTTTACTGGAGACGAAAAAGTTGGAGAGGGGAAAAAAAATCCGCCCCCGATCTCGGCTTGGCCCCGGGGCCTGTCCTTGGCGTGGCTGGGGAGCTCGTTCGCCGGCAGCTCCTGGCGGGACCAGGACCGGCTGGCCCGCGCTTTGCGGTGCTTTCCAAGCGGCACAGGGAGGAGCGGGAGTGACTGGGGCAGATCAGGGCGCCCGGCCTTTTGCAGCTGTGGGGCGGGTCGGGGGCCCGATCCTGAGCGGTGTGTCCCATACTCCCCAGCTCCCCCGCGCCCCCATCCCCGGGGGTAACGCAGCCTCCCCCCTCCCCCAGCCGGGTGGGCCCCACGCTGCCCCAGCGCGGGGGAGGGGCGCCCCGGGAGAAGCAGCCCGAGGTGGTGGCTGGCCGGCTCCCCCCTCCCCCATACTGCCCCCGGTTTGTCAATGAACCGGCCCCGCCCCCGCTCTCCGATTGGTCGGGAGCTGGCTAATCGCAGCCGGCCCCGCCCGGCAGCCAATGCGGGGCGGCCGGCAACTTTACTTTTCCGATTGGCCCGCGGGCGGGTGAGTGACGGCCCCCGCCCCCGCCCGCTCCCAGAGGCTGAGCCCCGCGCCGCTGTCCACATGCAGCGGGGTCCTGAAGGCGGCTCCGGCCAGGCGCCTCGCTCCGCCATGGGCGCGCAGTAGCCGCGGGGCAGCCGAGACGGGCAGCGGGATGGGAGCGCAGCGCCGGGCGCCGGAGCCCGCCGGGGCGGAGCGGCGGGCGTGAGGGAGCCGAGCAGCCCGCCCGGCATGGTCGGAGCCCCCGGCCCGGCTCGCCCAGCGCCCTCCAGCTTCCCCGGGGCGGGGAGCCCCCGACAGGTCCGGCCCCGGCCCCCCGCTCACCCCGCAGCCCGGTCCGGGATCGCGGGGTCCCGCTCCGCGCCTCTCCGGCCCCTGGATTGCTCCGGACCCGCCTGAGCAGCTGTGCCCGCCCGGGGCTCTGCGGCCCTTCTCCATGGCGCCCTGACCCGCCCCAGCGCCAGCGGGAGACCGGCAGGGACCGGGCGGGACTGGGAACCGGACCGTCCCGAACTCCTCCCCAGGTCCCGTCCCGCCGCCGGGCGGGAGTGAGCGGACAGTGCCGCGCCGGGAAGGATCTTTGTGGGGGGGGTTGTTGCCGGCGTGGAGCCCGAGGTCTGGGCAGCAAGTCCCCGCGGTTTGGGCTGACGGAGCGGGGCCGAGCGCCGGGGAGTTTATACCTGACCGGGAAGCTGCTGGGGACCGCTCCGATGGAAATACACTGTAAGCACGACCCGTTTGCAGCAATGCATAGTAAGTAGGCGGCTAGTTCCACTTCTCTGACATTTAGCACCGATCCCGCCACCCCGCCTGGTCCGATCACACAGCGTCCCGAGCGGTTATTAAAGGGGGGTCGGTGTAGCTGCCTCTGGGCACCACTAGCGAGGACCAGCAGCACTTGACCTGCGCTTTGCAGGGAGGATGGAAAAGAAAACAGCCGCCGCCGCTAGCTCGCTCTTTCCCCCTTGAATTCGCCAGATAAACTTCTGCGGCATTTCTAGAGAATATGTGTCACCTATATCCCTATATACATGCCACTCCGACCAGCCCTTGCTAATCATTGTATTACGAAAGCCAGAGACAGAGTGCACAGCGAGAACCAGAATGCAAATTTCAAACATTGATTTACCTAGATCAGGTACTAAAACCGCCGGGTGAGAACTACAGAGAGGATTGCACGTTTTATTTGGTTAGAACTTCGCCATCTCACAGTGAGATTCAAATGCCAGAAGTAAGCAGTACCATCAAACCCCTTAAATAGTTCCACCAAACAGACCTGTTCTTTTTTGTAAGTCTCTCCCCACCCCGTTTTTGGATGGCTTAAAAAGTTGAGGTTTTTCTTAGTCGACTTTTACTATTTCTCAGTTATTTATGTACAGATAATTTTTAAGACAAATCTTTACTAGAAAAATAGGGCTTGGAAATATTAGAAACAGCCTCTTTTAGTGTGTATCATTTACTCTCTAGAAGAATGAATTGATGATGTACAAATATTTCTAAATCAAATCTCTCTCGCTCTCTCTCTCAGAGAAAACATTGTGTTTGAAAGATACAGAAAAGTTTGGTCTGCAGCATTTTCCCCACATTTAAAATATCGATTTAGCCTAAAATACCCAGCAGTTATCAATGATAAACTGAGTCTAAAATAATTTTCTTCTAAAAACATTGAATTAATTTTTACAACATCAAAGTCTAAGTGAGGCAGAATGGACAACAGAGTCCAAATGTTAGAACTAGCTGTGTAAGTTAGCAAAATGTGTGTAATGTGTTTCCTTGAGGTTTGTTGTGCTTGAGAGGCTGGGAGAAGATTTATCCATTAACACAGTGTTATGTGAAATGACATCTTCTCTCATGGTGAGTTAAACGCTGGATTAGATCTTGAGATTTCAAGGAAATATAAAGTAGAACTAATCACATTTCCCTTATGCACTCCAGCCTTTTAGCCACGACAGATTTGTTTTCAAAATAAAAGAACGTGATATATAGATAGACATTATCTATCTATCTATCTATCTATCTATCTATCTATCTATCTATCTATCTATCTATCTATCTA